CATTTATATTGCTTGAGTAGTGAGAGTTTTAAGTTTGAACTTTCTGAAAAAGTTAGGTCAGAATTTGGTACCATTAGAAATTCTCATTCATCTTTGATTTATAGCTTAAGTTATTTACATTTCTAGAATCGTGATGAAATTTAGAACAAGTTTGTTGTTTACATTTTTGCAAATGGTTGAGAGATGAAGAAGTTACAGATTTTGAAAAAGCATGTTGAAAGTCTGGCGCGAGGTTGAAGATGACACAAGCCTAGGATTGGTTTTCAAATATATATTTATGATTTTGTTTATAACACCGGATGTATAGCCACCCCAGTGGTAGAAGTGCGCGCCTGTGACTATAGGGACCTGGGTTCGAGCTCCAGTGATACCCTTTTGTTTTTTACATTTTCTTATTTCAGGTTCTATACACACAAGCCATGTGCGCACACCATGCACCTCTCATTCATACCATGTGATTTGCCTGGCCATTAAATCAAACGGCCCATAATGCAAGCCTGTGGTACAATCCCAAAAATCAACCATACTGGATCAGCAAGTATTTGGGTTCTATTTTGGGCCTAAACTGAATTTCTTTCTCAATACCCCCCTTTTACTAAACACAACCAAACCCAATCCCATTTTATTTATTTTTTCTGATTATAAAAAAAAACACCATTGGGCCTAGTACAAAATGAAATCTGTTTTACTTTCAAACCCCATTTTCATTTTAAAACCCCCTGACTTTAATTTTATATTTTATATTTTATTTTATTTTCTTTATTATTATTATTATTATTATTATTATTATTATTATTATTATTATTATTATTATTATTATTATTATTATTATTATTATCATCATGTTTATTAATCAAAAACCCCCAAAAATATCTTATATTTATTATGTATATATTTAGTATACTTTTATTTTATTTCTTTTAAAGCAAAAGATTAAAAAAAAAATTCTTAACAATTTCCTTCTTAATTAATCTAATTTCTTTTTTCTATTTAATTTATATTTAGTTCTTATTTAATCAACTTAGACATAATTAATTATGTTCTTTCTTTGTTAGTTCAATTAGGATGATATTAACCCCTTTATACAAAAACTCAAACAAAAAAACAATTTTCTTTTCTTTTATATTGTTTTAATATTCTTGTATATTTATCATTCATATTCAATATGGTTGTAATAGTAATTAGGTTTAATTTCTTTTATTCCCTCATTTGTAAATCTGTATCCCCATCCCCAAATGATGTAATAGCGTAGAACTTTACATTTCCGTAATTTATCGCTTTCAAATATAAATGTTAGTAATTAGAGTTTGTATGACAAGACATAAAATCAACCAATAGAAAACCCTAATCCAAAGACAAAAGAGCATGAAAAAAACACTTTTCACACTTGCACCTCTAGGGTTAACCCACACTTGTTGCCTTAGAATAAAACAGTTATGTCCCTCGAACGTAGGATACTTTAGCAAAGTCCCTTAAATACAAGATCGTAGTCCCTCGATGACCCTTCAATGTTGCCTCCGGTAAACGATCTTAGATCCTTACAAAAAATTGCTAAGGTATCCTACAATGTCGCTTTCTATGACTGTACGATGACGCACGCCTGTCCCTTCATATCCAATGATATGGTTGCTTACTAACTAATAGTAAGACAAAATTATCTAAAGGAGGAAGAAAAGAACTAAGACTTTTTGAGTAGGTAGAACGTTCATAGTTGCTTGCTCACAACATTTCAAAACATCTTCCAAAACACACCAACATTTTCCATGAAATATTTTCAAAAGTTAACACTTTGTATACATTCTTATAGAAACGAGAATCATTACAAAGTTCGCCTAAACGAAGGCACTTTTCAAAAATACTTTCAAAAACAGTCACAAACACATTTCAAATAAAGCATTTCAAAAGTGAGCTAACAACTAAGAGCCTATAGATAACTACAGATGAAAAGGGTGCTAACGCCTTCCCTTTTCATAACCTACCCCCCGAACTCAAGAAAACTCTCAAAAGGTCTTTCGTGTTCTTTTCACCATTTCCTTTATTGGATAAAAGAAAAGTCGGTGGCGACTCTTTCTATCCGCAACAATTGCGATAAAATGCAAAACATCCAAGTCAGTTCTTCCACCATATTAAACTATCGAACCCACGTTCTCCACCTATAACACTTTGCTTTGCTAGTTATGCACTCTTTGGGATTTTTAACATTCTTGGGCCCAATCCATTCCTTATGAGGCCTCTTTTCTGGTCGATTGCGTCCACAAGTCCAATTGACTATTTGTGAAATCTCTCCCAGTCGACTTCCTTTTTGACTTTTGATTAGATTTTAACCCTTTGTGAAAATCCTAGCCAATAATTATATTGTAGGTTGTATATGGTTCGAAGTGAGACCATTGGTGAATGTTGCATCTAAATATTGTTGTTGCACTATCGTTGCATCACATATGTCATTGTTGTGACGTTATGAGTCATTGATTTCAAATAGGGGATTAATGATGAGTTTCGGGTTGGAAGATGGACCTGGTTCGAAGAGGGACCGCCAGGAGTGGACAAGATCAATAACATAACTCTGATATCCAAATTGGTTCCACATGCATATAGGGTCGAGGTGTTGTCGCATTGCCTACATGTTTGCATCGTGATTTGATGATTGTGATATGAATGAATTATCTGCTTGAATATTTGTTATTGCTGTTGTTTATGCTACTCTTCCCGATCTTTTGCACCACTAACATAATTGAGCATATTCTCACCCTTATGTTGTTTTTCTTGTGTATGGAAGCATGATGTGTATAAATACCCAAGAACATTAGTAATAACTACTGTGAGTTGGAGGACTGATGTGAAGCTTCCTCGTTTATTGTTTTCAGTTTATCATTTTAGTAGGTTAATGCTTTGATTTTGTAGCATTGGGAACGAGTCGTTTTATTTGTTTGAGTTAATCATTGGATTATGTTGTTTCAATTAACCTTTTTCAAATTGATAAGATATTTGAAGTTTATGTTAATTATTTGAATTCCGCTGCGAGTAGTTATTTATAATTGACGAGTTTTGTAATTATTTGAAAAAATATGCATGTTATGTTGAGTAGCATCCTAAAATGATGGTTTTATTCTTTTAAACTAAGAGTCGTGGTTTTAGGATGTTACAGTAATAACCTAAGAAGACAACTCTTCCTCGATGGACTTCACCTTCTCCAGGGTATTCTCTTTGTCATCCAAAGATCCTAACATGCTACTAACCTTGGCAGCCAAGTCAGATGGGGCCCTACGAGCATCCACCTCTTTTTTTATACTAGTCAAACTCTCTACCTCCTTCGGTTATTTCTTTGCCTCCTTTTGGAATTTCTCTGCCTCTTTTCAAAACTTATCCAACTCCTCCTGAAGCTTAGGCACCTTTTCTTGAAGGGAAATCCGATCACGGATAGTAGCTTCACATTTGCTCCTGCATTGCTCATTCTCTTTGGAAGGGTTATTAAGTGCGAGTATTTCTCCCCGAACATTAGGTGCTAGAATAATCATAGAAGCACATTATAACATATGATATGTGGTTTATTCCATCAACTCTAATATGATAATATCATATAGACGTTGGATATAGGTGGCATCATATTAATTGAAACAACTTTGCGCCTCTTGAGAAGTCGGGGGACCATAAGAGGGAGAGTTACTAGAAATTTGGAGGAGTCACTTTGGGGACAACAAGTGAACCCACTAGCGATGGAGCAAAAATATTTAAATCTCTTATCTGACCCTTCCTCTTCAGTATAAATCTTATCTTAATCCTGTTTGTTATTGCTACATATTTCGTCATATTCAGAGGAAGTTAGTTGATTTTGAGAGATGGGTGAGGCTTCAACAACAGTAAACGACTGGTCAACAACAATAATAACAGAAGGCTAACCCACCACCACTTCGTTAGAGTAGAGGTTGGATGAGGCAGAGGAGTCTAAAGCATAACAAGCTTTATCCTGAGATTTTTCCTGTTCATGAGACTCTTGATGGACACCATGGTATATGCAAAAGAATAAAATAATTGGTGGACATCTAAGAAATATCAAAAGCAAGTATAAAGTAAATTTTATCTCCTCGCAAAAGAGTTATTTTCTCTTCTTAGCATCAATAACATCTAAGAAAGCCCATGTATTGATTAGGTGCCTCTGTTACATAGAATACCCCATGTATTTAAGACCTTTAACCTCTTCAAAACTTAGGTTTTCTTAGAAGGACACCAAGTCTTCCTTAGCTAACACCTCTTCTAGACTCAAATTCTCAAAAGAGACAACGTAGTTATGTGACTCCCAATTAAAAGGATTCTAGACCCAGTACTTTTGAATATTTGTTTTTCACTTGTTGAACGAAAAGGTAGAAGCACCATTCATAATAGGTTATTCCTCGTGAACTTTGCAGAAGACGAAGTGGACCACTAGAGTCTATGAGTCACCCGGATAAAACAATCTTTTAAATTCTTCTAATACTAAACACATAAATGTCAAACTTCTTAGATACATAGTGAAATGAAAACATCCCCGTCCCACGGTGGGGATCCTTGGGGATCCTTGGATGTACGAGATATAAACAACAAATTGAATAATAAGTTAATGGATGAAATCTTTTCTCCATATTCATACCAATACTAAGATACCTTAACAATGGCCAAGACATACATGTGTAGTTGGAAATGAGAAATATTCATAAGCTTTAGCAACTCATTCTCAAACTCACTAAAGGATACCGTAATTGTTATCTTTTGTTTTGAGTAAATATGATTTCACTTTCTTTATAAAAAATTATTATAAATAGTTATTTTTTTAGTTTTCTTTTTTTGCAATTATTATTTTTCAGTTATATTTTTTTGGACTAAAGTAATTATAATATTTATGTACTGTATGAGTTATTTTACATTTTAGATTAATGACAAAACAACCTTAAAAAGAGTGTCCGTCAAAAGGAGAATTGTTGATTGAAACCGCAGGTGACGACGGCCCACTCTTCTGTGACGGAGACATGGAAAACGACGACGTTGATATGGTCGGCGCCGACAACAACGAAGCCGTATGTAATATTTTCCGGTTATCTCATTGTCGCTAACACAATTCCCCTTTCATTTTCGGTGTTGTTTTTTCAGTCCCAAAAACCCTAATTATGATTCATGCATCAATGTTGATTATGATGACAGCAGGATTTGGATGACATGAAGAAACGGTTGAAGGAAATGGAAGACGAAGCTGCTGCTTTGCGAGAGATGCAGGCCAAGGTCGAGAAAGAGATGGGATCCGTCCAAGGTGACTCATGTTTTTGTCAAAATTTGTTGATGAAAAATTTGAAGATTTTATTAACTGGATTTTGTTCTTTATGTGAAGGAAGCTGTAGGATTAAATTGGATATGCTTGATGTTTGATTCAGCTTTAGTTTGGTTGTTTTGTATTTAATTTTATGACCTAGAAAATCAAGATTTAAGTTTGTTTCCTGCTTTGGTAATGCTTTTGCATTGTGCCATTGATTCTTTGTGGACTAACTTGGCTATCTATTTAAGATTAGATACTTCATTGCACTTCATTTAGATTTTTGTCTAGTGTAATAATGCATGTCAAAAAATTTCCAATTTTTTAGTTCTTGGTTGATACCAGTGCTGTCGATGGCGGAGAGCCAAAATCCCACCACACCGGCCACTTTGCGGCACTGTTATAGGGAATTATGACGGAAAAACCCACAAGATCGGCCGATATTTACCATTGGTGCGAGCCCAAAAATCGCCATGTATATCCGCCATAGCGGCCATGGCGCCACTATTTGATAACACTGGTAGATACTTGAGTGCCTTGGTGATCGGGGCCTCCTAGCATTCTTAAGCATTCCCTAGAACAATCCTTTTATTTGACATATAAATTTTCTTTAGGAAAAACCATAGAACAAGTAATGTATTTTGTTTTCTTAATCTCTGTCTTTTTACTTCTAGTTTTTCTTTCTCATTCTCCTCTTGCACTTGCACATGGTGTGATCACTGTACTTTCTTACCGTGCAAGATATTTCATTTATTTATATTCTTGAGTCTCTGTTATTGATTGTTATCTCCAAACAGATCCCGCTAATGCTTCTGCAAGTCAGGTCAATAGGGAGGAAGTTGATTCTCGATCAATCTTTGTGGGCAATGTGAGCTGTCTATTCCCTTGTTTGTGTTAAATTTTCTATTCTGTTTATTAAGTTGTCTTATTCTCACGTTTCATAATATGGGCCGTGTTTATGTCTGCAATTTGCATATATATATATACGCACATGGTCACCTGTGTATGCATGTTTCCGGAAATGCTGTCGTTAGAATATGGTCTGACTCTCCAATCATTAGCTAGTCACAATTTTTCTTACCATAGATTTTCAATAGCAAGATCAGGAAAATCTGCAACCTAACTCAGATTGAATAGCAAGTGGCAGTGCTATATTTTTTTTTGCTACCCGCTGTTCTATACTGCTTTATACAGTTCATCTAGCATGGTTAATTAGTGTAAATGTTACATTTCTGATATTGAGGGCTCCATAATATGCAGAATTGACACAATGCAGCATAATACAGAGTATAGCGCAGAGTAGATTGTAGGGGAATTACATGTAGACGAGATAATGTGAAAAGAAGAAGATTGTTGCTGTTTATAGTATATATCTCCCCAAGAAAAGAATCTCAGATATTAATATTTGTAATTAAGTAACACAAGTAGAGTTTTAAGGACCACTTTGTTGCAAACATTTTCCATTTAAATCAAACAATGATTTATATTAATATTAGTTTAATAGCTTAAATACCAGATTGCAGAACACAGGGCGCTGAGTTTGTGCAGGATGAGTAGATTTTTCATGACTAAAAAATCATACATAGAAATGTATAATTGAAGTTGAATGTAGCATGAGATAGAGCAAATGAACTCTACCTCAAAGCCAAGTCATACATGCATGCACAAGTTGTACTAGTATATAGGTTTTATGTTTTACCTGGTTTTATTAGGAGTTGTTACTGTTTGATCTCCTACTCAAAGCCACTCCCACTAGAGACGCATGTGCTTCTCCAAGTGGTCATTATCTTCCTGTTTCTGAGGCTCAGCTACCTGAAACCTCAATTTTCTCGCCTCTGGTACACCCCCTCGACAAAATTCCTTCAATTTGACTACCTGTGTTGTTGGACGAATGAACCTTAATCTCCCTCAATTGTGTATTCAACCTTGGTAAAGTTTTTTCAAGAAGTCTTACATGTCACCATGTTGCTTGTGTTGTGTCAATGTCTCTTCCTTTCCAAAATATTCACTTTAGTGACTTTTTATTTTATTTTATATTTGTTTACTATCTTTCAAAGGTTGTCAAGATTCCGATCAAGAACGTAAATCATACGATTCTGCAATCTCACTCCCAATGATCTGAATCGTTTGCAGAATCATGTATTGGAGATAGATCGCTGCAAAATCATAATAAGATCCTTAAATCGCACATTTTTGTGTGATCCTGGCCATATTTGCTTGGGTCATGTCAGACCCGTGGGTAGCAATCCTGGTGGTTCTATTAAAAAGTAAAAAGTAATATTTTTAAATATTTTCTCAATCAGTTTAAATCGTCTCCCTCCCTCACAATCCTCTCTGCCTCTTGCACTCCCTTGCGACCTCCTCTTTCTCTTCAGAGACGTGCAACAGCTGATGATGCTTTTGTTTTTTCCCTGACTCTCAGTCGCACGCAGAAGGCATATCTTCCTATTCAGTTTTACTTTGTTTTTGTTTTCTGAATCATGTTGCTTTCTCTGTTTTTCCCATATTTGGTATGTTCTTTGTCTCTTGTGTTGTGAATCGTCTCCCTCTGTCTTTTGTTTGTCTCTTGTTTATTTTCTTTTTCATTTTAGTTTTTCTACCTGTTTTTGTTTTTCACATCAAAGATGTTTTCCTGTTCTTTTTGAGAAGTTATGGAGAAGATGATGAGATTAATGAAGGTGAAAGAGTTGATATTATGGGGGATGATACAAGTAATTGGTGCATTTGTGATTTGATCTAGCCTTTAGGCTTTAAGTATATTATTTTGTGGACTTGGTTGTTTTATATTTAAGATGTAAAACTTATGCACTGTAACACTCACATATACAATCAATTGGTAGGATCTTCCGATTTTGGTTACAATCTTGCTACCCCCTCCTGATCTTATGCAAGATCTTGATCCTGACAACCTTTGCAAAAACTCATGATTATCAAGATGGTGATTGCTTTCTTGAGGCCATTCATAGTTATTCACTTGTTCCTTCCCATTGTTTCCTTATGAACTTCTAAATTCAGACTAATTTGCTTTTGATTTCAACTTGGTGTTTTTCCGCTCCGTTTGTCATCAAATTGTTGTTCACTGTCTTTTTATATGCATGACTATGACTAAATTCAGCTATCAGACATTTTTCTAGTATACCTAAGCCATCGTTCTCCATATTTGTTGCAGTTTACTATCACCACTCTCTGACCATTAATTGAATGGTAAATGCATTAGTCATTTAGCCTTCATTGAATGTATTTAGCTTCTATAAAAGCTCTCACTTTTTGAGGGTAAAGTAAGATATCTCAACTATTGATAGCAAAAATCAATGTTAATATTTGATAACATTTATGACTTGTCATTTATGTGTATGGAATATCAATGTTTGATTTTTCATCAATGGTTTTCTTGTTCTACCCTCTTAAGGTTTATAAGTTCATTATAAGGTGTCATATCCGTCTTCAGTTCACTACACTCTACCTTAGAAAGTTTGAAATCTGTAAAGATTATGGATATGTAGGTAGCGAGAATTTATTTGTTTTATGTTGAATATATAGAAATATGATTGTGCTTTCTACTGTTGGCATTGTGCTTTGACATAATGTTTGACTACAATTGCAGGTTATGCTTCCATCTATAAGTTTCTGCTCTAGTCATGCTGCAGTTGGAAGTATATGATATAAATATAAAACATATAGCTGGAGAAAAAAAAATAAAAGTATCAAATTTATGAAAATAAAAAAAAGAGCGGAAAAACAAAAGATGTAACACTAACAAAAATATTTAGAGGGACATAAAAGGGGATAAGAAAGATAAAGGGGGAAAAAGCAAAATAGCATAATCTATTATTTAGGGCAGTAAAGAGGAATTTAGGATAGAGAGTTTTATCTACTATACTTTGTGATTTTGTGGCCGGGTGGATGGACAGAGGAAGGGATAATAAATTGCAGATCAAGAATCTGGAATCCTACCGGCGAAAAGAGGACACTCTATATAGGTAAAGGACTGTGTGCATTGGTATCTGCAGTTTTGATTGCAAAGGCCGTGGACACTTTTGGTGATGCTTACTGCTCAAGAAATTTATAGGCATTATAAAACTATTTGGTTGGTGAAATCTGACATGATAAACCCTTTTCATTTTCTAGCTGAAATTGACACTGTTTCCTTGAAATTGTTTTCTTTTTGTTAAGGCTGTAGCAGATTGTCAATCAATTTCGGCTTTGCAGTCATTTGATCTCCTGACCTTGATATTTCCTACAGGTGGACTATGCATGTACTCCTGAAGAAGTGCAACAGCATTTCCAGTCGTGTGGAACAGTAAACCGAGTCACCATTCGCACTGATAAGTTTGGCCAGCCCAAAGGTTATGCTTATGTAGAATTTGTTGAAGTAGAAGCTGTTCAAGAGGCTCTTTCCCTGAATGAATCTGAACTGCATGGACGGCAATTGAAGGTTATTACATCCAGAGCCTTCTGCTTTTAAAAAAAAAAGTCTGTTTCCTTCTCTGCAGCTATCTATACTCAATTGAACTTTTTTTTGCAGGTTACTGCTAAGAGGACCAATGTACCTGGGATGAAACAGTTTCGTCCCCGCCGGCCTAGTAATCCTTACATGGGATTTCGAGGCAGAACTCCATATGCACCTCCTTTTGCCTATGCCCCTGCTCCTTATGGATATGGGTATGTTGTAACAAATTATTTCCTTTCTAATATCTGCGACAGTGTAGTCTAAGAACATTTTTTTGGTTGATTGTAGAAAGGTTCCAAGGTTCCGAATGGGGATGCGCTACAGCCCCTACTATTGAATGCCCAAATCCTACTTAAATGGATTTATTGATTATTGGATGGATGGACGGACATAATACTCTACTCCTTCTCCCTCACATGTTATCATGGCTGATGTTTTGGCCTATAATGAGAGTATTATCTTAGGTGGTAACCTAGACCGAGGTTGTTTGTTCCGAGAGGATTGAACATATTTAAGAGTAAACCTTGTAAACTTGTGGTGTTTCTGCTTCTGCATTAGTGTTTATATTTATACATAATTCAAATGTTCTTTGTAAAATTATTCATCGTAAAATTGGCTTAATATATGTCTTGTGATAAAATTCGTAAACATCCTCAAAATTGGCTGAATATATGTCTTGTGATAAAATTCGTAAACATCCTCAAAACGGCTGAATATATGTCTTGTGATAAAATTCGTAAACATCCTCAAAACGGCTGAATATATGTCTTGTGACAAAATTGGTAAACACACGTCATAGGGATGCTGGTTGCTTTCATTTCGAAATAGGACTGTTTGTCCACTCTATGACGTTTGTTCTGTCTCATTGATGCAATCAAGTACATGGTGTAATTTATGAGTGTATCCTGAAATATTTAACTACAATGATTTCACTAGTCCACACTCAACAATATGATCCAAAGCTTGCTTTTGAATTATTATCGACAAACAAGCAAATTGGAATCCAAAATTACAGACTGGATATAATTATTAGACACAGACAGAGACGTGGCATGGAGCTTCACTACTCATCAGAATGTTATGGTCTATTATTTGAAAACTTGGTATGGTACGCTATCAATTTTTACTTATTTCACGGGAATTGTACTAGAATTTTCAACTTTGGTTGAATAGAAAAAGTTATGGGGAAAGCTACCTCACCCAATCCTCACATATACTATTAACAGTGTACACTGTATATAGTAGTAGAACTTATCCGAATCATGATTGCACAGGAAGAGGACCCACTTAAAGAAAAAAAACAAATACATCATGCGTCCTTTTATGCCGAATCAGATTCACTCACCTCACCAATGTCATCATCACTGCCACATCGTCATAATGGTATCCCTGGCCCCACCAACCCAAGCCACATCGTCATAATGGTCTCCCTTGCCCCAACCCAAGCATCACAAAAGAAACCACCACTCTATTATAGCAGTATTTTACCTTTTTTTAGGTTCTCATTCATTCCTCAACAACCATTTTACATTACTCTAAACTAAAGAACACATGTTTTACAAAAGAAAAACCACTCACTAGGAGAAACGAAAAGAAATCTCACTTTCAACATATAATACATATTATATGCCCTTTTTTCCTCCATCGTTTTTCAGATTATAATACATTGGTTCCACTTTAGTTAAACAGAATTTACACGTCACACAAAACGACAAAATGCTTAAAAATACACTCCTCCCACCAGCCATAGCATCATTCACCTGCCTCCGTGTTTATCAACCCATCATATATATCTACACAACATCATGCCACGTGTCCGTTCACCGGTCCCCTCCTCAGACCAAAGTCCTGCATGCCGACGTCTGCGGGTCCCACATCGCAGGAAGAAGATATCTTCTCCCGTTAGCACCGTGCGCATTATAACTCGAACCGGTAGTTTTATCCACAAGAACCCGACCCGCATAACCCGGGTAGGATCCACTTCCGAAAACCCCCGTACAAGCCGTAACAGCTTCAAGCGGCGCCGTCGCCGGCCCCTGGAAGTAACCGTTGTTAAAAGGATTCGTGACAGTACCAGCTAAAAGGGTAGCTAAGTTGATGATCATTCCGTCAACACCAACGTCACCGTTAGGCGCCACGAGCGGCGACGTCTGTGGTCCATAAATAGGCTGGTGGAAAGGCCACGCGCATTGTCCGGGACACAGTGTCTCAGCGTTTCCAACCCATATGTAAGGGGTTCTCGCACTCGCACCACCGTTGCCATGTTGAACAGAACCGTGGGTCCCGCAGCGACTCATACAGAAACCGTCAACGTTAACGTCTTTCGCGGTAAGAACAACAGTTATGGAAGAAAGTTCGTTGAACTTAGTAGCTAAAGCGAGAAGATCCTTTCCTTTTAAATTCTTCCCAAGAGTATAAGCAGGGTGCAGGAACTGTTTCCCTACTACGAGCGCAGACGAGCCAACTTTGTATTTCTCGGTGGTCTTCCACCACGCGGCGGCCGAAGGGAGAGGAGCACCGGTGGTGCTAACAGAGTTGATGAAATCGACGATTATTGATCGTTGGATGGGAGTGAATGTTCCGTACCAAATGAGATTAACGGTGATACGTCCTTTAAGGAGTTGGCCGTTATGGTATTTGAGGACTAGAGGTTGTTCTTGAACAAGCTCTCCCACTGTGAGTGGTGGTAACAGTACAAGGAGAGCCAGCAGTGAAGACAAAGTTATGGCAATTTTGTAATTAAAACCCATGTTTGTTATATGATTTTGAGGATTACAACAAAGAAAGAGAGTGAAAGAGAAGAATTTGAATGTGAGACACGATTACAATAGCAAAACGGGAAGGGTATTTATACACCCGGAATGAGGAGACAGCTGTGAGAAAAAAAAGATGATGAAATTTCCGCGTGGATTTTTTTTATTTGGTGTCTTGTTTGCCAGCCTGTGAGAGTTTGAACCCGCATGACGTGGCAGTCTACAAGTACTACGGATGACTAAGATGTAGAGGAGGTGAGATTACGGATTTAACCTTGCTTTTGATTTTGAGTTCATGATCCCGAGGAATTTAATGGTTGCTTGTTTTGCTAAGCGTTTCAGGTGTACACGTTTGAATGTAACTGAGTGGGTCCATTCGGAGAATTTGGGTGGGAAGATTGGCCTTAAGATTGGAAATGAAGGGTGAGATGGGAGATATATAATTGGAATGGATTCGCGTCTGGGACCTGAGTTTATGATCTTGACGTATTATGCAGAGTTTTTAGGAAGAGTGTTTCAGTAAAGATGATGCTGAATTCATCATCTTTCGACTCTCAAAAAAATATTTTGGATAAGGAAAATTATGACAAATTTCAGTATAGTTTATATATATTTAATATCCTCTTTTTTTTTTATTTTTTTTATTTTATATTTTTTTTCTTTCACTTAATAATTTAATATTTATTTAAATTTTATTCAGTATAATGATTTGTTTAAAAAATTCAATATTCTATCCACTATTTTATTTTATATTTTTATTTTCTTTTATATTTTTGTTTTTATGATTTTATAATTAATATTAATTATCAATTGAAATAAAATTAAAAAAATTAAGAATTAAATATTTTATTTTTAATTTTTTAATTTTTTTAATTTGTTTTTAATTTTATAAAAATATTTATTATTAAAATAAATAAAAGTGGATAAAACAAGAGTTTATTGGAAGTTAAATAGAAAAAATATAGAGAAAAATAGGTTATTTTATATGTCCAAATCAAATCAAATATCTATTTATAAATAAAAAAAATGATAAATTTTGATAAAAATAAAAATAAATAAAAAATTGATTTATTATAAATAATTAATTTTAAATAATTAAAGTAATTTAAAAATCTAAATAATTACATCAACCAATAAAATTTTACTAAGTATTATACGTAACTTCATTCAATCTCCATTTAACATGTTAAATGTTTTTAACACATATTAATCGATCTCACTTTCAATCTTTTATTTAACACCTCATTGCACCTACTTGATTATTGAATAATTTTTTTAACACCCTCTATTATACATAATCTTATAAATGTTACTCTCCCCCTCTCAAAATAATCTATATTTTTAAGTTATTACACATATTAAAACAATATTGAAAGAAAAATTATGACAATGTTACAAAATCACATATCTCTGTTTTTTATTATAAATTGTTTTAGATTTTTCACACCCATTATGAAAAATAATGATTGTATTATGAAAAAGAGAAAGAGAATAAATAGTATGTATTGATAATATAAAATATTTTTACTCTCAATCAATCCTATCAAATTACACTTTAAATTTTAAATATTTATATGATATGACGGAATAATAAAATAATTTTATAGTGTCTTTGTATTACCTTTAACCTCAAAGAAAAATTATAAAAATTATAGTAAAATTATTCTTCACTAATAATATGGAAAAGATACACTTATATATAATTAAAAGAAGATAGAATAATAAATATTTAAAGATATAATAAAAAAATATTATTAATTATTTATTAGTAGTATAAAATAATTTATGTTGTAGTACATGTTTTTTTCCAAAACGATTTATAATAAAAACTAGAAGAAGTATTAATTACTGGTATTTGATATTGTGTGTTATTAAATGAAAAAAAAGTAGTGAAGAAAAAATTAACTAGAAATAAAACTAATAAAATTTAATTAATTCTATATTAAAAAATAAAACGACATATTAGAAGATTCAATTTTTGGGCAAAAGATACTTTTATTCTAAAATGGAGTATATATATTTTTTATTAGATATTCTTTTATCACTTTAACACATATTAGAATACTACTCTAAGTTTTAAAGTGAGTTTTATCAAGATTATGTTCATAATATAATATCTAATAATTACTCTTTTACTCCAAAGTTGTAAAATATTTTAGTCATTTCATTCTAATTAAAAAATATAATTGTTATTTTAATGGAAAATGAAAAAATATATGATTTTATAAAAATATTTTTTTAATAATTATATTAGAAAATAAAATTACAAAAATTAACAGAAGAAAGAGAAATAAGTAATAGAAAGTATATTAAATAAAAAATTATTAATGATATATTAAAATTATAAAATGACTTATAATTTAAGACAAATATTTTTTAAAAAATAACTTATAATTTGAAAGAGAAAGATTATTCAATATTAATTTCATTAAACATCATTTTCGTTATACTTTTAAGGAACATCATTTTTCTTTTCATTATTTTATTCGAAAATATGGTGGATTTGAAAATAAGGTAAATTTCTAAATTTCAAAAAATATAAATTTCTTTTTCATTACAAAAGTTTTCAAAATTATCATTTTGA